TGAGGAATCAAGATTCTTCGTAAGGATTACTCTATCTTTGTTACGTCTCATATATCGTCCGATGCGTCACCAAGACAATTAACCCTTTGCACTCCAGAAGCCTCTTACCGGAAATATTCAATATTTTCTAAAGAGATACAAACGACATTTTCTTAGATTGAATTAAGAAATCTCACATGCATCGAGGAAGAGAACTATTTTCTTTCAATATTTTGTACATTGATGCATTATACAAAGTTTAATATTAAATATCAAACTTTACAGTTTTGCTGTGTCAAATCATTTGGTGACTGAGAGGCGCCTCTGGAGTATAAAGGGTTAATGTCTAAGTTCATGTGAAAAGTAGTGTCACCGAAATTCGGGTGCCGTGGCAGTCAACGTGTCAAGGAGCACACGAAAGCCGGTGTTTCAAACGATCTCGTGAAATCACCGCCGAATCGTGAAGATTGAACCGCGAGTAACTGGAACTGTCATAAGAGTAAGCATCGCGATAAAAAGGATGAAGGCCAGGTTTCATAAAGAACGAAACAAGGACGACGTGGACTCACCATGAAAGATTAGGAACATTTAGGAACATCGTGTCGAGGGTTCAGCTTATTACGATGATTATTTCTTGGGTGAAAGCGGCGTTTGTTCCATATAAACTAAAAAGTACAAAGAAACAGAGAGAAATATAAAAACATGACTGTTCAATGTATCCATTCATTAATGTATCTATCAAACCGATCGTTCATCGTTTGACAAATCGTCGGAGCCCTTACAAAGTTACGCCATCCTCCTCTGAAAGGTGCTGCGTCGCTTGACCCGCAATGGAAGCTGAAAAAATCGTTTCCGTGTCAAGTCAGCATTTTCTGGGACGTTTTAATATAAAAGGCGAGATCGTGAAAACCGAGCTGCAGGCGGTACATCCGCAGCGGCGAATCCTTGCGCTTCGGTCTTTGAGCCGAATGAAAAGGTGTTCCGATGTCTAGGTGAGACAATCGCGGACTTATACGAATTCCCGATACAGCGCAAAACCGCACGGGGTAAATAGCGTCGTTTGAATGGGCCGACGCACAGGCGCAGAGCAGAAACTCAATGAACGTGGACGACGATCGCGGGCCGTGTTTCTCCTTTCAAAAGAAACTTCCCTTTCGCGTAGGCTCTTTGTCGCGGGTTTCCGCGTCGAATTCTCGCGTTGAAATATAGAAATATCCGTTGGCACGATACCTACATTTCCGCGTGGATCAACCGTGACTGACGACACTGCGGATTCCACGGTACATTTCAATCCGTACAGCAACGTTCTCGGTTCTTCTGGATTCAATCGAATTAGCGGCTACACGATTTTACTCGCGAGTATATAATAACGTAGGAAACAGCGCGAACCGGTTTCAACCGTGAATTATCCGGTTCATTGTATTCACTGTGTTTAAAACTGTAAACAACCGCATCCAAATTTCCCAATGTAAATTTAGTCCTCCTAAATCTGTGAAACCTTGATGCTCTTGAAATACGTATGATACATGGAGGGTGTCGCCTAAAGCCGACAGCTTTAGACAAGCGAGATTGATGCGGCCGTTAAGCAGACGGATTAAAAATTCGAATCGGACCGAGACGTGCCAGCGGATCTTCGTTGCTACTTTACTACAGCGTGATTTTACCTCGCTTTCATCGTTAGTCCGGTACCGATATCGATGAGAGCTGTATGATAGAAAATGTCCGCAATAAACGCAATGATCTCTAAATCCTTCGTCGTAACTCACTACCAACGAATCTGAAACGAAACGATAAGCGTCAATGATTGAAAAACAGTAGGAAGAAAAGTAATTCGTTAAAGAAATAGCTATAATTCGTTCTCCTAGAATATTTAAAAAACAGCATAGAATGCTTGATTGGTCTTTTATTCAACTAAAATGTGAAACACAAAAGGGCGGAGCGGAGAGTGAAAGGAAATTGATTCGGGACCGAGAATGCTGAGAACAGAGAATCATCGGTGAAGGTTCGAACACTCAGAAAACAGTGAAACATTCGATTCAGCGACAATGACAGAAATCATGTCATTATTATTCAGACAGCATTTTTTTTCGATCCGTATCCCAGATCTCACACGTAACATCGACGTCTTTGTGTTTCCTATTTTAATAACATTATACAATTATGTACGTACGAATGTATAAAATTCTGTTTTTGTTTTTTCATTCTTTTCTTTACGACTAATACGGGAATGTACGATCCGCTGCTCGCCGCGAGTGTCACCGCGACGCCATTTTTCTTCGTTTTTCCTCTTTTCCACTCTTCTCCTCGCTCTTCATCAACCTGCTGCACGCTGCTGCTGCTGCTGCTGCTGCTGCACGCCATCTTCCATTCTCATCCGTTTCCGTTTCGTTTCATCTCATTCTTCCTCTAGATCATCGAAATAACGTTACAACGATCCCCTTGTATATAAATACGCCAGTGCAAAAGATTCGTCGAGAACGAATTCGTCGGACGCAACGGCGGAAATAAAGAACAATATCCTTTTATCTCGCCCGTTGCCGCTTCCGGCGCGAACATGGCCGCCGACCCCGCCGAACGCGTCCTCGACCGAGACCGGAAGTAACGTCGGCGTTACTCGCGGGAATGTTTCTCGCTATATACTTTGAATTAACAAAAAATAAAGAAAAAAAAAGAAAACAAAACAAACAACTGAAAGGACTAACGTTGCTCGCAATGGCTCCGGCAATTATTGGATGTCAATTAGCCTCGTGTTCTCCGATCATTTTCGATCACGATCGCCTACGAGTCGTCGAGCGATCCCCGACGACCGCACAAGCACACGTTATGGCACTCAAACGCGAACCGTCATTGTTCCGTGTAGATTTTCGAAAATCGGATCATGTGACCAGATTCTTGTCGAGAAATCCGCGTCTGTCCCACATCGATCAATTAAAACTGCGCGAAGCGAATGATTCCGATCGAAAGAAATCAGAGTTCGTACCCATTGCATCCGACTAACGCGGCGTTAGGTTAGGTCACGAGTCGCGATTCCCTTTAACCTCTTAACCGGCGGGGAATCGGGTGAACCTCTGTCGTTAACATTGAACTGTATCTTCCCGTGATTTTCCGTTTACTCGGCTAGTAACGTATTATAAATAGAAACAAACTCGAAGAGACTCCTTTGCCGGGAACAGTTTACAATTGTACGATTTACAAATCTAGTCACATTAGAATCGGACCACATTCCGCGTTAATAGACGAAGAGATCTGACGTGATTAACCCTCGCTCAGCCGATAATTAGATCACTTTCAATCATCGCGTCTCGATTGGCATCAACGTGTTTCACGTACGTTTCGATACGTGGCGATAAACAATCGATTCCATAACGTTTCGTTCGTTATCTTCTTCCGAGTCTTGCCGCTGCGACAGTGAGAGAGCATTCTATGTTAGCACACAAACAATGCACCGGCGGTGCATTACGGTAAAATTTTGACAGAGAAACTAGTTGAAAAGTATACATTACTCGGCCGTTCGGGGGTTAAAATTGAATGAATGGTATGCCGTGATCGAGAAACAATGGCCTCCTTCATCGAAGATCACTTTTGTCGCGTCGTAACGTCACGGACATAGTTTTGTTGCTTTTCAATTTTACTATTTTACATACGTTATTAAAGCAAATAAGTACATCGCGGTTCTGACGGTCGAAATTGAATGACAATACCTCAGACGCATTGCTGGCCCACCGGGCTTGTAATGTTTGGGTGTACGGTGTCGCCATCTTGAATTTCAAATTTGAATTTCGACTCCGACCGTTAGCCAATCGAAACTGTAGGGCGCACCCGGAACGACGACCGTCAGAACCATTCACCTCGGAAACGCATAAAAATTACATCGTTACAATTTACAACTTTAAATTATGGCTCTTTATCGGACACATTGCAATTAATAATAACGCAGCAGGTACGAGAGAAACATGGCGAAAACATTCGACGTTCGGTGACTGTAATTGTCCAACGGTTGATCGATAAACGAAATTCTAATAACGTGGTTTCGTAAGTACCACTTTCTCCAAAAAGTACTCAATTGCTTCCTTATTAATAAGCTTCGGATCTTCGTCTATTAGCTGCCACTTCCGTTTAGGGAGATACACGTGTACCCCGTCGCAGATGAAATAAAAGAAAAGAAGCGGTTCCTTCGAAATGTCACGACCATTGAATAATCTCGAAAGTATCGGTAATCGATCCCCGTTATAAAGTTCTCATAGCTTACAATCTTATAATCTTATGTACAAGTTCGCATTATGAAACCTGAAAAAATGTCTAAGTACTGTTGTTCTTAGCGTTTAAAGGAGTACCCGGAACTCGTCTAGAAGCTCGGGGAAACCCCTCGTAGTTTACCTTAAGAATTAGAACCGTATCGATATCCTTACAATCCTCCCTCGCGATATACTCTGAAACTTCGTAGCACGTTTTTTTCTCTTTTGAAAAAAATTTCGATTACATGTGTAACGCTTTTCTCGTTTACCTCTTCCCCCTACTCTTATCTCGCTTTTTTTCGTTTTTCGATTTTCCTCCTTTTTCTTTTCTTTAATCATTTAGACGGAATGGATATATTATGGATTGTGTATCACCGACGAGCTTATGTAGCCGTGTCAAAACAAACTGAGTATTCTTGAATACTGGGAAAACAAAGAGATTCGCATCGACGAGTTTCGCGGAAGAAATATTGCCAACAAAGACTCTAAGCACACTACAAAGTATGAAAGGAAAAAAAAGAATACTTTCGAAACTACAAAACAATGGTACGATCTGAAGAGTGAAATCATTTTGTAAAAACGCTTCGACCGTTGTTTTGATATCGTTGCTATATAAAATGCGCTTCGATCGGAAAAACTTTTATACGTAATATCTTTATGTCTCGTGATAATGTCTTTAACGCGTTTTCTTTTTTTGTTCATTCTCTTTAGAATACGAGTATTCTTTTACAGGATTGTGCCATGTCTCTTTCTCTCTCCCTATCTTTCGTCTCTTATCTTGCTTTTTCTCTCTCTCTCTCTCTCTCTCTCTCGCTCTCTCACACGCATTATACAGGCACGCATACGGGCAGATCGGTTTCTTTCTTATCGATTAGATAAAACTGTAAGTACGGAAAACAAAACGAGAAAATATTGGATAAAAAAGCAACATCGAGCCCACTACGATTATTCGCTATTATCAAATATCAAGACTTACGCCTAAATACATGTTAATAAATACATCGCTCTGAATACATCCAACATGATACATGCATACTGTTTATGACACATGGATTGACTTCATATTATTCGCGTTATTATCGGGCTTGAAAACAGCCATAATTTAGGACCATAATAATCTATCATCCCGCCAGTCACGCTTCGCCATGGAACGAGTATGTTTAACTTAAATTAATTTGTTCGGACTTCATACTTTTCCCCTTTTTGCGTCACGAGAATTATCCTATATATAATCGTAGTCGAAACGCACTACGACAGAATGAGTATAAACTATAGCGAGACCAATTATTGTTTCGTGATCGTAGGGATTGAAACTGTTTTAGTTGGATTAATCTGAAGCAACGAAACAACAGACGACCGACCCCCGTTCCTTGTACGAACCTCTGCAAGTTGTACAAGCCCGGAAGTTACGTAGTCTTTCACTACACCATTACGATGGCTTCTTCACCGCAAAAGAGGAAAGGATATTGATCGATCATCGTTTGAACGACGTCCTCCAAATATGGTCTCATTGCCTCGAATCTGCCGAGATCGTTAAACTCTATAGGTAATAACGTAGGCCACCAGCAGATCGCTAAATTTTTACTGTCCATACTATTTAACTTGCAGTTTTCAGCCACTCTAAAAGGAAATATAGTAAGACAATTATATTTCAATGCTATCTTGATTCTTCGATTAATCCGAAGGAGGACTTACTTAACAAAATGGTGGAAGATGAATTTTAGAACATCAAAGTTTATCGGGTTCAATTTGTTGAGCATTAAACGTAACGCCAACAGTCTGCAGCTTCGATCTACAATAGAATCATAGAACTATGCGTCAAGCTTTGAATCGGTTTAATAATTTATAATAAATTCGATGAAAGCAACGCTTACCCTCCATATTCATACATGTGGCAGACATTGGTTTGCTGATTCCTCGAGCACCTAACCCCAAGAAGGATATTATATATCTAATCTTAAATAAATATGCTACGCTAAAGTTAATAAGTTACCCGATATATCCTCGAGTTCGCTCATACGATCCTTATCGATTAACGGTGGCAGCCTCTTTGAAAAGAAGTCCTTTAAAGCTGTTGCAACCGCGTTTACAGGTATGTCCAGTGAATGTATATCTACATTCTCGTCTATTACAGTTAAATATGGGAAATATAAATAACCAGAAATACACAACTGAATTATTCTTTAAGAGAAAGCTCTACAATAACTTGCCTTCCTCAAACTTCTGAAAGAGAAGTTCAACGTGAGCTCTGTTCCCAGGAACTCTGTAAATCCCTTCAGAATCTAATCCTTCATCTTCGATAAATTGTACACATTTCTCCAGGAACAAGGGTATTCGATTCGTTTCACTTTGGGCGAAGTCTTCGATCAACGGCTGCTGTTGCACCTGGCTTCCACTTAATGAACCACCTGGCCCTTTAGTCTGTTTTATCTTCTCTTGTTTCTTCTTTTCCCTTTCCTTTTCCTTTTCCGCGTGTTTCTTGAGTTTCTCTTCCTTTTGTCGGCGCTTCTCCAATTTTTCATCTTCCTTCGCCTTCTGCTTATCCTTCTTTCTATTTAATTTATCGCCATCTTTCACCTTGTTCGAGATGCCAAACTAAGAGAACACGTTGTCAGTATATCATCTTCGTTAGTTGAACTTTTATATTGCTACTTACGCTCGGAGAATTAGTTTCTCGAGGCGACGGCACGTCTAAGCTCGACTCGTCATCTTGTATGCTTCCAAAGGTATTATCGCTTCTTTGCTTTGCTAGAATAATAAGTTCACGCGGTAACACGATGAATGTCAATCTTATTTCGAACTCTTCGTCGAATTCTGTTTACACAAATCTGATTGATACACTTCAAAATAAAATCGAGAGAATTCTCACACTGTCAATCCACGTAGAAATCAACATACAAAACAGTTAATTTTTTTGTTCAAGTTTCAAATATTTATAACATCTAAAATAAAGATTTTAATCACTTACAAGAAGTACTAAATACATCTTGGGCCATATGTTTTACGTTGAATGAATGTTGCGACGTTGCAGGTTGATGCTGTTGTGACAAGGCATTCACAGTCCTTTTTCGTAGATTAGCAGGCATGTGCTTATATTGTTTCGACCTCGATCTTGAAGTAGGTTCTGGGTCGCTAGACTCTGACGAGTCTGATGGGTCACTAGATACTGTACACAAATTAAAGTGACACAACCGTTACATCGTTGCAATCTTAAATTGTATATATTAAAAAATGTATTATTATTACATACCTCTTTCTGTAGGATCTACCCGCCAATTTTTATCTTCCTTAACGTTATAATTGAGGCTAACGATACCATCTCTGCTAATTTTACTATTAGAAAAGAAGGGAACTTTAGGTGCTGCGACAGGTATGGCGATGCGTTTTCTACGTATTCGTTTGTTCGGTGCTGGTTTCTTATTTTCTAAAGAACTCCGTTCCGAATCGGAATCGTGATACGCTATAAAATTCATTATGAATTTACTTCTCTAAGCGGATAAACAAAGCTGAACATTTCACCGGTAACTACTTACAAAATTGTCCCTTCTCGCGTCTATTGCGCAGCTTAGGCTTATTATTTCCAATTGAATCTTGTACTAAAGCGTACATGTAATCACCATCATAAGACGGATATAGGCTTGGTACAACGTCTTTAACTTGGGCGTAGTCGGAGCCTAGGTCTACCAATTCAGGCGTAGCGAGAGGAGCGTGGCCCATTGTCATTTTAGGACCGTGCTCGTCCTTCTCTCCTATTGTCATTCTGGCTATCGCGTCAGTCACGTTCGAGAAGTCTTTCAGATTGATTTTGCCTGGTTGTTTTAACGTTTGACTGTTTCCCTTCGGTCGTGGTTTTGCTTGAGAAATATGCCGTCTACCCGTAGTAAATGCTCTGTGAGGGTAACTGTTAGTCACTCCGTCCTGATGAATAAACGTATGCTTCACCCATCCTATTACAATATATCAGTGTAAGAAGAATTATACCAAGAATTTATTAAGATGTAAGTACTATGCATTTATCAATAGAAAACTAACCGGACAATTTATTTGCAATGTCGCCAGATTTCAATAACTCTCTTTCCCTTTCCCTTTCGTCTCTGCAAAAATCTACTTGGATATAAATATCACTGTCGTCGCTGGATGTGGCTCTATTGTCAGCAAACTGCTCCCCGTCGGGAGTTAACTGCTCGTACGACTCAGACCCGCTTCTAAAAGTTACAGACATACTGCTTCACATTAGACTTTTGAACCACAGGAAAAAATATCATGGTTAATTCACGCAAGTTACGTAGCACTTGAAATGTTGCTATCAGGCTACTTACCCGTCATCCGGAGTTTGGAGGTGATAACTCTCGTGCCGTGGCGGGGGCATAGGATGCAACGCAGAATATTCCAACGTTCCTTCACCACTGTCGTTCAAATTACCCGGCTCCTCCATATTAAATGCTTGCTCGATCTCTGGTTTCTTCTCCCACACTTCTTTGAAGAACGGGGTGTAAAAGGCCGCTGAAACGAACAGAAGAACATAGAAACGTATGTTCCAATTATTGCAGTGAAGAGAAAATGTATAAGAGTGTGGCAATACTTTTTTGTTGACAACTCGACGCGGAAGTCATAAAGTGTGCTTGTAATCTATCTGCGGTTGCATTTCCTTCCGTAATGAGTAAATGACTCAAATCATTACTAAAAAAGGCATTGGCACCTCCAGTATCAGTCACAGCCATTATTTGTATCGGCAGGTTTGGTATATTCATAGAGAATGCGCTGTAAGAACGTATTACATAGAAATTGGAATTACTAAAAATTCTAGAACGATAAGTTTTCATGCGTATCAATGGAAGATACTTGTTCTTGATGCACGTACTTGAGCGTCGCGAGCGATGCTTTCCTCTTTGTCGAATAAACCAATATGAAACCGTGAACCAATTCGTCCCTAAATGCGTTTGCCCCATGGAAACTGGAAATTATAACTTCGACTCTGCGTTTCGACTCCCCCAAAAACGTTTCTAAAACGATCGAACGATCACCACTCAGGAAACAACACTGATGATTAAGCAAGGGGCCAAGCACGTTTTCCACGGAATAAGGGTCTCCGCAGAACATACACATTATTATCCTAGAAAAATATTGTAATTAATATTTACACTTTGATATCTTAATGTGCCAAGTTAAACATTACGTTACCTAATATCAGGTTCTAAACATTCAATGACGCTTTGGTAAATATTGAGAAATCCAGCTCTGTGATTTATAGATTGTATAAGTTGCTGCAGTGCATCTTTGACAAGCGCGGTAGGAAACCTTTTATCTTGCTCCAAATCTTCAATGCAGACGTCGATGAATGGACATTGTAAGCTATTGTAAAAGGAATTGATTAATTAAATGATTCTTTAAACTTCTAAAGAACATTGAGAGCTATAAATAGTACCTATCAGCAAGATTCTGACCCTCCTGCCTAAGCCTTATTGCTTCCATTTCGTCTATAGTGGACTCTGGCACAAACATGATGACAATAGGCAATCCTTGAAATGGCAATCTGTCTTCTTGCTCCAGATTAGACAATAATGTCTTCTCTAGAGAAGAACGGATATACTCAAACGAATCTTCGTTTGAATAAATGCAAAATGACCCTACAAATAAAAATAGCTACTTAAAAATTGTTCATTCGAAAAATTCAATTTATAAAATATATGAAATTGAGACAAACCATGAGGCATAAAGTCAGACGTGGTAAATGAATTGTGCGGTAGTCCGACATCACCGTCAATTATTCGATATCCAAGTGTATAAAATTGACAATCAATTTCCACTTCGTCATCCTCGGTCTGGGCTCTTATTTCGCGAGCAAACTCCTCGCCCAATCCGTTACTTCCAAGTATAACTAAGTTTAACTGATTGTTATCAGATGTTAATTGCCACTGACTACTGTGGTTCCAAGATGAAGGCCTAAGAAAATTATATGTTTAATAAAATTAGATAATATAAATTCTTTTTTTGTCATCGTGTCATTGCAGTTACCTGTGGGCTTTTGTACCAAGTATTCGTTCTATAAGAGCATCCATGCAATTAGGATAAGCTGGACAATGCTCTCTTATAGGGCAATGTACAAAACCCAAGTGTTGAAAAAGCATTAATTTCCTATCTTGATCCAACCTATCTAAAGCTTTATACCTGTATACGAAAAAATGATTACATGGTATCCATGATCAGTAAGAATATAATTGATTAAATGATATACCTAAAATCATCCACCAATGCGTCTGTTATTTCTTTAATGTCATCTTGTGTTATTGTTCCAGATGGAGCAATACTCTTAAAATGATAGAACAAATCCGCATGTTCCAACAATAATTCCTAAAGTACAAAATAAGATTAATAACATGGAAAAAATAGCTGTACTTCTTTATAAGGATATAATTTATTACTTGGAAATTATGCTTTGCTTTTTCAATAATTTCTTTTTGATGTTGGTCATATATTTCTTGACAATCATGATGAGAAAGAGCTTCAAAGCATTCCCTACCCATGAAAAGTACTCTGACTTCAGATAGGTGTTTTCCTGGTGTAACATACCCAGTTTCTTCCAACAGTTGCTTAAACTGCTTTTTCCATCTAACGAATAATGTATATTAAATTTATACAACTACCTACTGACTATGAAATTAAATATTTCTCTTTTTTGCAAACACATTTCTGTATCTTATATTCCATCTTATATATACTTTTTAGTGGCATGGAAAGAGACATAAATGAATGAATACTACAAAAGTGTTAGTAAAGCTACCTATCTATTTTTCTAGGAATTCAATATTTTCTAGAGATATATTATAAAGCTATTATAGAGAAGAATTTACCTTTTGGGAAGTCTGCACAAAGAAACGCCACCCAGAATAAAGCAAAGCATTAGTGTATTGCATATGAGTATTACTTTCTAGAATGGTGAATGATGGTGCAATTTAATGATTACATTGAAGCATTTGCAACAATGAACCAATTCGTTTGCTACTTACGAATTGCAAGAATTCAACGTATAAAGTTATAAAGTATAATCAAAAATATATATCTGCCTATACATAAGAAAAAACTTACTCTAATCGTCGTTGCTCTTGCTGCAGAACATTAATATGATTTTTGAAGACAGTTTCTGCTTCCGGGGTTTCTAGAACATCATAAGGAACCTTTGTTTCATTATTTTCACCAAAATCACAATCTATCCATGGAATATCTTCAGGACATTCATAGAAATATTGATGAAAATCAGGATGTTCTTTTATATATTGCTGTACCGCAGACCATTCTCTTTAAAAGCAAAGTTTATAGATTAATCGAATTTGTTCCTATTAAGTTTATTTAAGCGATTATTAAACTAAACATACTCGTTGATTAAGTTTGTTACATCAGGGCATATTATATGAAGAATATCAGGCAACATATCCAAGTAGCCTTGAATTTTCTTTGCTACCTGCTCGTCCTTCAATTTCTTAATATGTCTCCTGAATAATCTTTGGGTCGCGTCGATACCAAATAGTTCCACAAATGCTGTGAATTCTTTATGCTGTGCCAATTTTTTGGATGCCTGAGACCATAATGCTCTATAATCGGTCACATGTACTCGAATCAATCTCTGCAATGATTCTGTAGAAGCATCTAAAAGTTCCTTTCTGGATCTGGCTGCCTCAGCGAAAGGTGTCACCTTACTGCGCGTCTTAGTTTTATCAATTAATTGTGCCAAAATTACAAAAGCCAAATCGATATTGATATTTTCATGAGCCGAAGTTTCAACGACTAAAATGGAACCCTTGTACTCTTTACGAATTACCAACTTCTCTGCTTCCTTCACATACTGTTCGTTCGCGTCGTCATTCTTAGTTGTTACCAAAACTATAGGCTTTTTGGTTTTCATCAAACTGTTTAATATGTTTGCTACTATTTCAACTTGTTTCTCTACAGCTCTGTTCGGCACAACGCTTACATCGAATACACACAAAAAACCATCAATATTCAATTTACCATCAGGTAATACTTTCTGTTCATATTCCTTCTCTATACCTAATTGATTTTTGCAAATGTACATAAGCTTTTCTGCACTGGTAAGTTTGGTGGCAGCGCATCTTTTCGCATAAGGTTCCATTTTACCACCTTTGAAAGGCTGAAAAGATGCATCATCTATAAATTCAGTATGTTCTATCACTTGAAATTGATATTCAGATCCATCCTCTGATGTTTTTGTAACTTCACCCCAATATAAGAAATGGTCATTGTTCACCACACGACCACTAAAATCCGACTGAGAAAAGAAATAATATATATTAACATCAGCAATTCTTAAAGGTTTCCATGAGTACAGAATGAAAAGTAGTATTTAATATTTACCTGAGATAACACTGATATATGGTCCACATTATAATCATCGTTCAAAGAACGCATAAAACGATTACAGAGACATGATTTTCCTACACCGACTTGTCCTTTGTCTTTCTCGGTACCAGAAAGACCAACAACGGCAACGTTGATAGTCTTGATGTTATCACTTTTCCTTGCCATTTTGTTTTTTTAAAGCTTAATACGATTAGATCACTTACAAGATTAATAAGTGTGAAAATAAAAATCTTTCTCCCTTCAAGTTTTTCTCAGGACATTTTTAAGTGTCGCTATTAATAGTTTCTCTTGTCTGTGTATCTTTGTAGCTATTAAAAATCTTTCTTTGTTCCTTTGGTCATTATGTCAAATCTAAAAATTCGTATGAAAACCAGCATTATCTTCCTTTGGTAACATTTTCAATAATATTCTTTCTCATGCTATATTCCTCTCTCTTTCACAGCATTTGAATATCATGCCTCGAATTGATATAATACATTCAAATTGATATATAAATAATTACAGGCAAATGTAACTCGTTGATGTCTCATTTGAGCTTCTTTTATCCAGAATTATTGTAATGCTAGGAGTAACAACTTTACATCGCTAAAAGGGTTAATAACACAGACCTTGGAGAATCTAGAAACCTCATATTTCGGAATAAGCATAGCATGTATAGTTTAGCACAGCTGTGAGCAATGGTTCTTTGGAATGGCACTGCGTATCTGGAAAGGTAATATCCACAAATGAGAGGATACTGTATCTAAAAATGATTCATATATTAATTAGAAATATTAAACTGCGGATATTTATGCAAATATAAAGTTCTCTGAACTAGTTCACAAAAAAATGGAATTAATCAGAAATTTACTCTCTACATTGAAGGTTCCATCAGAGTCCACATAAGCAAAAAACTTGATTAAACCGTATAGAAACTTTTACACCACCGACTTCCAAACACTTGTCTACGTTATGAATGCATAAAATCCACAATTTTTTTACGAACACGTACAGACTGCCTTGTCCGTATCACAGGTTATGGATTCGACGTAAGACTAAAGAGATTCTCTCAAAGGGCATTTTAAACTAATCTTCAAGCAATTAACGCGCATCTCCCGACAAATAAAAGTCAACGCGAGAATACTATTCAAGAAGTGTTACGGGGATGTTGCTCTCGATTGGACGAGAAAAGAAAATAATATACATGTACTTTTCAACGAGCGAGCAACGACAGAACAGTTCCATCACGATGTAGATTCATCGAATTCTTTTGCAATTTCATTTGACACCGAAATAATCGGGAATAACACAGTCAACGGAAAGAACATGAAATTCAGAGATTCATGCGGCAGAAATAGAAATTATTCAATGTACAAATGACAGCTACGAATAGATCAATATGCATTGTACACAACCGCGGTCAATTTTGACACGAACGATAGTGTCCCGGGAATCGAGAGGAATGTTCAACGAAACACACGGACTCGTGGAACAACTCATCAGGGACGCGTTTGGCTGAACAAATCGACAGAACCGATCACGAGGAATATCTTGGCGAAGCATCGAAAGGCTATGCTACCTGTACATAAACTTTCGTTCGATGAGCGAACTTTAGTACACCAACCGGCCGTCTCATGTAATTTTTTCCTTCGAAGACGATCGATCCTTCGTCGTTGTACGGCCACGCGCTCTTTTCCACAATTTTTTCCTCTCACGCACGCGATGCACCATAAAAAATGTCCCGAACTCGCCCCGACGATTCTTTAATTCCAAGTGTGTGTAAATAACTTCACGTCAAACATCGAGTATCGCCCCATAAAGGAGCCATCTTGATGGGTGGGCACAAGGCGATTAATATTTTCAGGGTACAGTATCCTCGCGATAGGAGCTCACCTTGTCCTATGCGTTAGAAACTCACGATTCTCCCCTCCACCGTTTTCCCTATCTTTTATTGTACCAAAAGCGGGAGTGAGAAAAAATATCCCGGTTACACGACATAAACTTCGTACCGATCTTACCTACCGGGCAACGGCGCACACGTTGCGTGCGATGAAAATTCGAAACTGTCATTTATTACGATTAATCACCTTTCACCTTCTTTTCACCGTCTTTTAAACTAATCCGTATCAATATTTACTTCATTCTTCAAAATACCTTATATTTAGTTGGAAATAGAAACTTCAAATCTTACGAAATTGGAATTTTTTAAAATCCACATTTTGAATCGGTGGCGCCATCACGGAGAGATGCTCAAACTGATAAACAAATCAACGCAGATTTAAGATACGCAAATACATATCTTAAATCTATGAAATTAAATTACCAGTCGATAACGTTGCTCACTGCATATGCAACGAACAAACGACGTACGAGATTGTATGATTGGACAATATAATTCTCCACCAAATGACGGCTAAACTGATTCTCGAATGATTCACTGTTTGTTGAATTTCTGAGGTATTTAACTCAAGCTCGAAGAATGTACTTCAGACAAAATTGACAGAAAATTAATATTTATTTTACTGATTACAAGACAACGTTCAAAGTGTCCAAATAATTTTTTAACAAAACTTTATTCGAAGACCTGATCTGTTACAATTGTAATGAAAGATTTCTCATCTCTCTCACTGATAATGCAGTGAGCTTTCACAACTTGTTTCGCGGACGTGTCGAGTGGGGGCGTGCAAATGACACGATCTATCAATTTTCACAGTCGTGTAACATTTTCTCAGAATGAACCGGGCTCGGAAATCACGTATCTACTGGCTTAAGAGCTCCTAGGGAGATCTAGTTACCGTGCTCATATCGCGAAACTGTTGTAGATAATACACGACGAACAAGAACAAGGCCGTATCAAGCGTGCTCCTCGAGATTCATTCATATAGGGCGTCCTCGAAATCTAGAACCAAACTTTGTCCGCGTATTCTGCTGATCTTATTGCGATGAGAAAATGTCAGTCTAATAATAGACCAGCGAAAGCACACTTCCGCGCTATAGGCAACGATTGTTGCACGACAATGAATTAATCTGGGCCATTTAAATAAACACCTCCGAGCTTGTAAACACTATACACCGTGTGGCTAGAAAGTTGATAAGATTAGTGTTCCCGACGGGACGTAGAAGCATTTGAGGAACGTATCAAAATATCTTTCAATGTTTATAATTATACGCTTTAAATTGGATTCTAATGTACCTTTTTATTGCCAGTCTTAAAACTTGTTTGACATTAGGCACTTTACTCTGTCGTTGCATTATGTTTGACGTTACTCTGATAAGACGAACCGTGGGAATTGATATATAAATACACGATAACGTTAGCTTATCTGTAACACATAGCATAAATTTAAATGATCAATGAAACAGCTCGTACCTTCTATCTTCGGGAACCCACTTTAAAAGCTTTTTATAATATAAAATTCTAAAGCATTGTACCTTGAAAATACGTTTTTCCCTTGTTATGAATATACATGTATTCGTTCGAGGTGTTGTTTTATTAAATTATCATTGAACGTTACGATCGATTTTTTTACATTTTCTCCGTGCATTTATTACAGCGATTATAAAATACTTTAAAGTATAGAGGATGTTATAACTTTGTAATCTTGACACGTATTTAAGCAACGTTAATTTCGAAAATAAGGTATTGTAATTTCTATATTACAACGAATTGTTTATTATTGTTGGTGTTATTAATTATTTATAATCTGTATTGACGGAAAAGTAAATGTCTGGGAGCGCTCGACGTAGGTACGCTCCTGTGAATGCATAAAAACACCACCTGTGCTTGAAGTGGCTGAACTATTCTGACTTCGAATCGAAAATGGCTGACAACGGGGATGTTGTGAACAGTTCGTCGTCAGGCAAAGCGGCTAGAAATACCGTTATCGATGGACCTGTCACTGACCCAGCATCGAATACTAAGGTAAATTAAAGAATGCTGTCATCCGATATTTCAAGGAGCAGAGTTTCTCTTAAGTTAGACTATTAACGCGCGCGAAAACTTGTCAGTGTCCTGCCACGAGTGTCATACTTACCGCCGAGTACGATTCTCAGGCTAATTAAGTCACTTACAAACTCAACCGAATTCCAAGTAATGTTTTCGACCTATAATTGATCACAATGATAAATGAATCATCCTGAGAAAAAAATTGTTTACCGTTATTCTCTACAGTTTTATTCTGTTCCAAGTACTCTTATAGTTGTCTTCCATTTGCCTTTGTCTATTTTGTTTTTTACCTGTGTTTTCTTTTTTTCTATTGCGTTTTGACCCAACCCTTCTTTGATCTTGTGACCACATGTTTCTGTTATGTAAGGTTACACATGGCAGTAATTGATGTACGGTCTTGTGTATATCTTTCATTTATTACCAAACAAGTAACTTCCTTCGCTCATTATGAAGGACTGAAACAAGCTCATGAATGTGTTATATTTAGGAATTATTATATATACATATATGTATATGTTGCAGGTTTTATGCACTTATAGAATATGCAGACTGTAAAGTAATAAATGTAATGACGATTATTAAAGTTTTCTGCAGTTTGATTTTTGTATATAGATCAACTCTATATTTATGAATTATACGTATTTATTTATAGAGTTTGGCATTTCAATTATAATTTAATGAAAAGCTCAAAATCGAAAATGATAAGAGAAATTTCAGTATTTTATTATTTGAAAAGATACTTGACAGATAGCAATTTATAGAATAGCTTTTAATAAAAATATACATTTATTTTTAACACATAGTAATTAGCAATTCATCAAACTTATGCAATGCAGAAGTAATGTTATGGTAATTGGCATGAACTAAGAGACAATTCATGTCTCTGTCGAGGACACTGTGTCTATTGAAGCTGTGAATATTCTAAGCACTTTGTCATATATATTCAAAGTTACTTAATGCATTTTGATGAGCTACCAAGTATAAAATGTTAAATTTGAAAATCTCTAGCAGAAATAATGAAAGAATGTTTTTCAACTACTAATTTATAATAAGTAAATAACTAATATTTGGTTTAGTAATATAATTTTACTAATCTAAAAATTTTATTCCATTATGAATTTATTTTTCCCTAATACCTTTCCTTGCATCATAATTGTAATGATTTTTAACCAATATTTTTGTCTAGCACGCCAACCATACTACAACAAAGGATTATACAATCCTTCTAATATTTTCAATTAAAAGCATAGCATATAGCTTCAACTATGACAATGCAAAAGTTTAAAGGTGATTTGCATGCTACTACACATGTTATCTGCTCTCAAGGCGCTTATATTATTTTACATATAGAGCATTATTCTCACAGTAGTCCGTAGGTTCGGTACCAATCACTCATGCATCGCTCATTACAAGCCTAAATACACTATATAGGCGTGGCACGATTAGCACTACCGAGCCAATGTTTCGAGCGTCGTAAAAATAACAGAGGAGTAATTACAAACGAAAAAGAAAGAATAAACAAAGGAACTACTTTTGCATACATAAAACTTGCATTCAAAGTGTTCCAAGTTTTATGTACAAGTAACACCTTTGGGAGCTTTGTACCAAACTACGGACTGTACTATGAAAAATTTGATGCGATTTGAATCCTGTAATGGTGGTTATTGTGATTTCAGAGCCTAGAGGCATCAAATAATGCCTTTCAAGCCGCGAGAAAAAAATTAGTAAGTAAGAAATATATGTGTAAGAAAACACAAAGTAAACTTGTACTCCTTTCCATAGAGCAATCCTTGCAATTTCCTCAGGGCTGCTTTAATTCCCCATGACTACATAAGTGTGGTATGTGCCAGTGAGTTTTATCATTCTTGCCTCTCCCCTCGAAATAACACAGGGTAATAATCAGACGATTCTCTTACTCAAATATAATTTAATAAATCATGGGTTCCTTGCACCTATTTGACTGTGTAATTTAAAGGAGCGTCACAAATAATTTCTTTTTCGCTTCATCGTGTAAATAATATTGCATACCAGTTAATCGATATATGATACGGAGCAGAGAATTTATTATATGTCGTCTATATTAATCTGTGTCCATTCAGCTAAACAATATAGCTTCATTTGCACTCTTCTGTTTGTAGTCCATTTCAATTCATCGCAGCCCCTCTCAAGACAAAGGATATAAATGGTCTTTCAATTAATTCAATCTTTTAAATGTTTAGGATTCCAAGTCTGGAGCCTTGAAGAAATCCAGCCGATATCGTAGCCGCTCGTTGTCAGCCAGTAGCACAGACAGTTATAGTTCTGGTATGAATCTACAGATTTCACTTTCGATGAATTGTGATTATGTGTTTAAATTTGTGTTATAGATTGAGTGATTGTAACTCACCTTAGTAAGCAAATTCATAAGCCTGTTGCATGTGCCGTTTGTTGTGGTACTAAACCCATTCGTTTTTTGACACTGTTTCACTGTAGCCTCTTATACAGCAAGTTCATCGGATGAGGACGATGTCTCGCCACGTGAGAAAATCCAGAAAACGGAAAAGGGCTTCACCGATTTTTGCGTGCGCAATATCGATCAGCACGCATTTGGCCGTAGAGAGATAGAAATAGCGGAGCAAGAAATGCCCGGAATCATGGCGCTTCGTAAACGTGCGGCTGAAGAT